CGGCCGAATACGGCCTGGTGTGTCTGGGCCTTTAGACCTTCCTTTTTGATAAAGCTTATAGTTAGGGCTGATTAGATTCAGCCCCTAGTTTTGCTGCTATAGGCTTAGACTGTCGGGGGACACCTTACTTCTTCCTTCTCTCTGTCTGTACCTGTGTACTCTCATGTTCCGAATAACCCAGCTTCCCCCAAATTTCTTTTTGGTGTCTATCTACGCCGGGATCCTGAGTCGTGGCTGATCCTGTTGCTGTGGTCCTGGATCCTGAGTCCTGGATCCTGAGTCCTGCACCCCTACTTCCCGCGGCTATGCATGAACCATGAAGCAAGCAGGGCTGTGTTTGAAGTAAATACCTGAGATCTGACACACATTGATCCTGTATCAGCTCCTTTAATGATGAAGACAACAAGTGCTTTTATGCTGTACCACTAGAAATAATGTTCCTAAACTAGCAAGTGTGGTGCTTACATTTGACAAAAAGGGTGGCACAGTAAATAGTCATTGCAAAGCGCGATATTGGCTAATTCTTTATATATCATATCTGTCCAAAAACCCCACAATCAACAGGATCAAACCACATATTATATAGTTTTCATTATTATATCCTTGATAAACACTTAAAATATATCAAGTGCTTTAGGAAGTATTGTGTGGAGTGTGGAGAAATGTGTAAATATTAACTCTTTTAACCAATTACATTTCACCATAATCTCCAGCAGCCAATCATCGTGCTGCAGTCAAACTTAAAAATGGTTCTCCTCTCTCCTGCAGTCAGCTGTGATTTCAGGTGTTCATGCTGCGGCCCGCCTCCACCTCATCCAGCCCTGTCATCATGTCCAGTGCCAGGAGAGCTAATCCAAAGACCTCATCACACCTCATCTTCATCCCACCTCCTCATCAAACCCAGACTTTAAGCATCCTCTTCATCCCATCTCCTCATCAAATCCAGACCTTAAGCATCCTCATCAATCCAGATCTTCATCCCTTCCCCTCATCAAATCCTGATCTTCATCCCTGCCCCTCATCAATCATTGGACATTGGAACAGTCCTTCGGCGGGACTCGATGACGTAGCATCCTTGAAATAGTGGCTCTGGAGGAGCCTTCCTCGACATTGAGAAACACCCTGTCGTATCCTCCGCGGTCTTAAAGTTTTCAGAGTTCTGTTGTAGTGAGTCAAGGTGGCGATAGTTTAGAGAACTTTTCTTGGTTCATTTATTGACTGTTTGAATGTAAAAATAGTTAAAATATAATTGAGAAAGGCTGTCACAATTACACAGAGCAAAAAGTGACACCTCACTGACAGAGTCCTAACCACAAAATTATACAAAATAAATAAAAATAATTAAAAGGAAAAGCAGCAAAGATATAATGACTGTACAAAAATAAAACAAACGTATGTTACTACTACTGCTAAAAGACAAGGTTGAAACCTTTTTGCAGGAAACAAACCTGCTCTTGTAATGTTCAAAAAAACATCTGTTGGGGACTGATGGCCAACATGAAGCCAAACGCTGACCACCTGTAACCTGAGACCGTCAGCCCCTTGGCAGCAGGTTTACAGTGTTAGGTTAACACAGGCTCAGAGGAGGTCAACAACAGAAACAATATTTGAACATATTAAAAGGAGTTCTTCAAGGCAGATATAGCAACAGTAAAAAAAGGTGATGGTTAAAGTACCCTTGCAGCTCCGCCGTAGTGGCTCATCACAGCCTGCAGAGAGAAGCAGAGCGCTGTATTACAGCTGATTGTTAGGTCTCTGTGTGTGTGTGTGTGTGTGTGTGTGTGTGTGTGTGTGTGTGTGTGTGTGTGTGTGTGTGTTCATAGTTCAAGTAATCATTGGTTTCTCAGGAGCTACTCAGGAGCTATAAACAGTAAGTCAGGACTGCATGCTGCAATCTTACAGGAAAAGTTCATGGAGGAGCTGATTTAAAGATCAGCTGAATCTCATTGGTGATCCATAGTAACAATAGATGAAAATAAAAGTTAGGTGAGGTAAGCCCTGTAAAGCCCACTGTTGTAATTTTACAACATTACTTTAAGCTATCCTAAAAAAGTCAGTAAATGTTTTTGTTTTTTAAAGACTACATTTACATAGTCAATAGGTCCTTTTGTTCAGCCTCACAATGCTATTGGGTAGTAAATGTGTTTATAGGTCCTGCCTTCTGGCCATACACTCACAAAACTTCCGAATCTTCAAACGAGCAACATCTCTTTGTTTTATTGGACTGGATTTGTCAGATTCAAGTAAGTAAAATGCCTCAAGTATTTTTTTTTTAAACTGTTTTTTGGACTACCATATTCATATTTAATAAATGACTATTCATAAAAAATATGACTGATGTGTGATTATTATTCATGCTATATACTGATATAGGGCTAAGTAAGCAATTAATCCTGCAAATTAACCCTTAGTTGTTCAATATATTTATTCAGACAATGTGAGTAGAAATACAGGAATTCTGCTCCCACCTAAGCCCAACGTTGCAATATTACAACATTTCCCTAAAAACTTACCAAAACGTAACAAATGTGACAACTCTTTCATTTCTGCTCCAGAGGCTCCCTACAACAACATCTGAAAGGTCAAAAAAAATAATATTTTTGGGCTTTACAGGGTTAACAAAAAAAAAAAACCTCTCATCTGATCCTACTTAATACAGTTTTAATATGCCTAATATTGACCCTATAATACAAATATTGTTAGCATTAGGCCTAATATTACACTAAACTGAATTCAAACATACATTTTAACACAATGCAAGACGGTCGCTAAGTTAACATGGTTAGCAAGATTCATCCCTAATTTGGTTAACTAGGATATTAATTAGGATGCTTTCATAGAGCAGAGTACAATCACACCACACTGTAATAGCAACGTCATGGTAGCGACCTGTCATCACAAGGTGGCTGAGCATACGGCTCCTTCACTCTAAATGAATAGACCATGCTGTCTTGAAGAAGACGTGAGACTACCATATGGGACCATAAAGGTATTCTATACACACTTCCATACCACCAGACTTCTTTTTGAAACCTCTTCTGGCCTTTAGAGCAAATTCAGACTATGGTTAGGGCACTTTTCAGAGCAGGAGTTTGCCCCTTGGATGAGACATGTGATTGGTCGCTGGCGCTTTCTGAGCTAACATTCATGCATTTTATAATTCACTCAGCTTTCAAATAATTGGAACTTAATCAAATTGGGTGATCGGGGCCCAGCAGTCCCTGTACGCATGAACTGAGCTCGGCTTCATTTAGATGCTGCGAGGACAGCTTCCTGATAAGGAATGTAGGGCAATTATCATCAGCAGCCTGGAGGATATGGATTAAGAAAGAAAAAAGGAAGCACAGGAAGAACTAAAAGAACATGAACTATTGTCCCTCTTGACTTTGTTCATATAACCCAAATAGCCATGTTTTTATTTGAACCGAGTGCACATTTTAAAGTAAGTGTATCAGAGCCGTCCAGCACAGTCCACTGAGCTTTGAGAGAACCTGAGCCAAAAGTGGAGTGTGAATATGGGTGTGTTTTATAGTTTCAGTGTGTGTGTCAGAGTTTCTCTGTCCATCTTGAAGTCATCAAGGGTGGAGAAGAGATTGGCCGTTCACTGTGTCCGCCCTGCTGTTCTCTGCCTGATCCAAACCACTGCTGTTTCCTTCAGGGTGGGTCTGTGGCCTCCAACAGAAACACCAGCATGACTTTCCTGCCAGCATTCCAACACACACACACACACACACACACACACACACACACACACACACACACACACACACACACACACACACACACACACACACACACACACACACACACACACACACACACACACACACACACACACACACACACACACACACACCACCACCACCAGGGTACCCAAAACAGCACAAAGGTTAACAGCAACAGTCAGACAACTGAGAGAAACAAATAGTAGATAGATGATAGAAAGAACATAGTCATACAGCTTATACTCAGAGGCTGAGAAGTACTCAGATCACAGGATTACTCTGTTTCAGTAAAAGTCCTGCATTAAAAATGTTACTCAAGTAAAAGTAGAAAAGTATTCTCATCAAAATATAGTGAAAGTAGCGACAGTAAAAGTAGTGATTGTGCAGATTGGTCCATTTCAGAATAATATATATATGTGTTTTATAATGATTGATCATGAAAGTGTTCTCAAAGCTGGTAAAGGTGCAGCTAGTCTGTAATGACTTTGTATACTGCAGGGTAGCTTGTGGATTTACTCCAGGTGGAACTAAAGTCTGATTTAACACTTGATTATATTTCACATCATTCATCCACATCTGTAAAGTAACTAAAGGTACTCAATACATGTAGTGGAGTAAAAGTACAAAGTAGCATAACATGGAAATACTCAAGTAAAGTACAAGTACCTACAAATTGTACTTAAGTACAGTACTTGGGTAAATTAACTTAGTTACTTCCCACCTCTGCATATTCTGGAACAAGTAATCTGTTATTATGTGGAAGAAAACTGAACAGCCCACCTTCAGTCTGCAGAGAGAGAGAGAGAGAGAGAGAGAGAGAGAGAGAGAGAGAGAGAGAGAGAGAGAGAGAGAGAGAGAGAGAAGAGAGAGAGAAGAAGTAACCAAGATGCAGACAGAGAGAAGAGCCCTATGATACGACGACGATTAACAGAGAGAAGTAGAAGATAGAGAGAGAAGAGAGAGCGAAAGTAATGATAAGTCTTTATCATACTATTTATCCAATATACATTTTAAATATATATATATTATATATATCTATATCTCTCTATCCTTTCTCTTTCTAAATTCCGATTCTTATAATGATATATCTATACAACTATCTCGGCATAATATCCCATCTAGCTCATTCGCTCATATCGATAAACTTATATACCAGCTAGCAAAGGAGAAGAAGTAAAGAGGAGGAGCAACAGAAGAAAGAGAGATACACACCAGCTACACACATACACAGTGGAGTGACACAGTAGATGGAGGGATAAACAAGGAAATAAAAGATGTAGAAGACTGAAGAAAGAGAAAAGACTAGGGAGAGAAAACATAAAGCAGAGAGTGAGGCAGAGGGGGGGTGCTGCTGGGAATCCATCCAGCACACTGCAGAGAGAAACCAGTGAGACTGGGAGAGGACGGAGAGGACGGAGAGGACTGAGAGGACTGGGAGAGGACGGAGAGGACTGGGAGGACAGACTGGTTTTACGAGCAGACTGCAAAGCACCATGGCCGACAACGTGAGCGAGGAGTCGGATTATACCCCGGGGAAAGATGAGCTGGACTGGGGCTACGAGGAAGGTATGGGGGATCCATCTACAGGAGGAGGGATGCTGGGAAACATCCAGTGCTAGTTGGTGTCAAAAGTTGAGGGTCCAGATTGTAAAGGGGTCTTGACCCCAAACTTCACTTAAAGCAGATACACAACACAAACTGAAACAACTGAAGCGTTGACTTTAATTAAATGTATGATGTCAACAGATTTCACATAACTGTATTAGGTTAGTTGAAAGCAATTATATTAAGTTGAACCTAATATTTTTAAACTTAATTATTGCTTTCAACCATCCTAATACAGTTATGTGTACTTTGATGACATAATACATTGAATAAACGGCAACGTTTGAGTTTTTTCAGTGCATTTACTAAATTTGCCAGAATTGGTCAAAACGTTTTGCAAATGTAGTCTCTGCACAGAAGTAACTGACATCCTAGAAAAATAAATGTACGCAGTTTCCATCAAACAGGACACCATTATACAGCACAAAATAGTTTAAAGTGCAGGGTCTAATCCCCGAACGCAATTGATGTGTTATTTACTGTATACTGTGCCGGCCTGCTGCAGTGGTGACACACACTGGAGATGCTGTGTTGGGTTGCTACACTGTTAACATGTCTGTTAAAACAAGACGAAAAATGAGAAAAATCTAATATTTGTCTCATTTGCTCCTCCCTCTTTTAGGTAACTTTCACTCATTCATTTTTGACTTCTAAACAGTTATAGAATTGTTCTTCAGCTGTACAGGATGCACTTTATATCAAAGCAGCAACATTATTTAGTTTGGAATATAAATAAAAATACGTACCTCAACATTATGTAAAACAGTGCAAGAGTGCAAAACCTACAAAGGAAAAGTCACCATATCCACAAAGCTGGTGCTAATATTAAGACAGTCTTGAGGATCATTAAAACTATTCATTAATAATCATGCATCTCCTTGATGTGTGATGGAATTAAAGGGCAATTACAGAAATGTATCTAATTACTATTTGGACATACCGTTGCAAAGTTAGTACAAATGCTATTGATTTGCAAAATGTACAAAAAGAAACAGATCTGTACCCTCAGGTTTCTTCCTGCTGGAGCCAGATATGTCAAACAGCTGTTCATCATCTGTTCTGATGATTATTGAACCAGGAGTGAGGTTTGCCCGTTGAAGCCGGGGAAATAATCCCACTGTCAGTCAGTCACGTTTTCTGTAGGCCCCTGGTCTGAACTCCTCTCACTCAGTAACTCTATTCATGTCCCTCAAACTCACCTCTCACAGTTTGTAATGAGGGATTTCTATTGTACATACAAGCTGACATCATGGTGTTTTTGTAGACATAGCATAATACAACTACAGTATTTCAAAGCAATACTTCCCATAACATATAAGTTGATCTTGGAGTGACCCTTTTTCTCCAGACAAACAAGATAAGAGTGAGACACTAACAAGCTTACATGCCTACTTTCAAATACTAAAATGAACTTCTCTTGTCAGATACATTGTCCCAGATGTTTAGTATTGTTACAGTTGTCATGCAGTTCTGATTTAAAGACTTCATTTAGGCTGTGTTGGTTCACTCTGTCTTTTTATTGCTGCTGAGCACCGGGGACACTGTGACATTAAACTGTGACCATACTCAGAGCTCTGTAGACTGAATTACACACTAAAGTCAGGCCTGCACTACCATCAGTGTCCTGTGGAGAAATGTGTGTCCTAGTGTAATATCTTAAATACAGGAAAAGTAATTGAGTGCTGAAAATAAATACATGATTTAAAAAAAAATTGGAATCATGCAGAGAAGATGTCTGTGCATTTGAAGATCAGAGACTTTCTGCAGGACACTTGGTAGTTTATAAGGTCTAATATTATATCTTACACATTTCTTTTGCAGAAAATGATGGTTTCCATAACACACTTCCTATCCAATGTCCCACGCTCCCCTTTTTTATGTAAACTGAATAGAATAGCTGTGCAAGACTATGCTGCAAATCAAAGCTGCTTCCTGCTGCTCTCGGTTTACAGTTGTTGTTCATAGACCAGTGGTTCTCAAATGGGGGTACGCGGACCCCTAGGGGTACATTGGAGTACTGCAGGGGGTACGTGAGATTTATTTAATGTTAATGAAAAAAGGGTTAGGGTTAGGGTTAGGGTTTCCTGAGACAGCGCCCCCCAGAACTGAGGGACGGTCTAGGGCTGGCCCACCATCATTTGTGTCACTTCTGCGTACCACGGCGCCGAGCGGCAACCTGGGGCCACCAGAATGACCGACAACTGTTCTCGTCTCACCCTCTCCAGGAGTGGGGGAATGAGACGCAGCGGTGGAAAGGCGTAGAGCAGCTATCTTGGCCATGGCTCGTGTGCAAACGTGTCCACCCTTGATTGTCCTGCCGAGCCAGGGAGAACCACCAGTCTGGCAGGGGCTTGCCTCTTGACATGAGGCCGGCCCCACTGTTCTCCAGTCCCGGAATGTGGGGGGCCTTTAGAGATAAAAACATTCTCTGAGGCCCACAACCACAGGTTCTCCGCTGCGCTCAACAAGGCGGCGGAGCGGACTCCGTCCTGCCTGTTGATGTAAGCCACTGTGGTGCGGTTGTCGCTCCTCACCAGCACATGTTTTCCCTGTAGTAAGGGTTTGAAGTGCTGTAGGACCAGTACTACTGCCTGTAGCTCGAGAAGGTTGATGTGCCGGGTCTCTGTCAGAGGCCAGCCACCATCTATAGCTGTCTCTAGGCAGGTCCCTCCCCTTCAGCAAATGCTTTGGGGACCCCCAGTATCGGAGGTTGCCCTCTACTGAAGGGGGGGAGGTCACCAGATGTCGTTTATGCCTCTTGAGATCTAAACGGAGGCTGGCAAACCAACCATTGATGAGAGTAGTACCCATAGTGTCCAGGAGAGGGAAGAGCCTGTGTGAGATAGAACTGAAATGCTGACTTTAATTATATGTATTATGTCAACAGTTTTCACATTACTGTATTAGGTTAGTTGAGAGCAATAATATTACGTTTAAATAATAAAATATGTTCAACTAACAGTATTGCCTTCAACTAAACTAAAACAGTTATGTGAAATCTGTTGACATAATACATTAAATTAAATTAATCATTTCAGTTTTTCAGTGTGTGAATGATGACATGTAAATGTAAAGACCTTTGAGGAGAACTAAAGATTAGATACAGCGCTATATATACAGTCTATTTACTATTTACAACGTGTTGCCAAGCACATTAACAAACATAAATCATTCTTGTTACAGATGATTTATTAATGTGATCTAGTGCCAAGCTAAACTCTGTCGCTGCAATGAAAGCCTCCTGCCCTCAGTCAATTGTTGTCAGGGCTTCAGTTGCTGAGGACAGAGGGAATGTGAGAGAACAGCCTGGTAGTCATACAGTCCATGAGGAGTTCAGTTTGATTTTCCTGGAGGGACATGAGTGTTCTGGGCTTCTGGAACATGAACCTCACCGTATGTGTTCCCTTCCTCCTCTCAAACACTCTCTGGGCTCCACACCTCAAACACTGTTGTCATTGTGCAGTGAGAGAGATGTGGTCAGCAGGAAGCTGAACTGAACCTTTAGAATCAGTTTCTCTGGTCTGAGTTTATTTTCTAGTGCAAGAAAACTGTATTCAGCACTACAGCATTCACTGTTTTAAAATAAATTATTAATTTTTCAAACATTAGTAATCAATGGTTTACTTCACATGAATTGTACTGCACAGAAAAAAACATCATTTTTGGAGCACGATTTAATCTGTGTGTGTTTAATGCAGCAGAGAGGCTCTGTGACATATGTAGACTAGCTAACTCTGACACTTGAGGCTAGCTGTGCTAGCGACCACAATGCTTACTTAGTTTAACAATGCACTTTATGGTTGTATTAACATAACAGAAAAAACGAGACATTGTGATTTAACAAGCAGTAAACCACTGTTCAACAAGCATAACAGGTCCTTCTGACCTCATGCAGCCTCTCAGGAGTTTGGTTTGGAATACTTCCTGACCAAGGTTACTGTTATGGCGCAGTTCCACTACAGCGCGGAGCTCGCTTTAAGCGTGCCGTGTCGTGCCGTACCCGTTTTTGGTTGCGCTTCCACTAGGCCTAGTTACGGCCCGGCCCGGCCCGGGGCCACTTTTTCACCTCTTTTCTGGCCCGACAAAATTGTGGTTCTATCGGGGCCAACAAACAGGGCTGAGTCGGGCTGAGTATGCTAAACTAGAGAGAGGAGCGCTGGCAAGAGGGGTACAACTACAACAAGATGGACATATTTGACCGTGATTTAATTGTAATACACGTTTCAAAATGATGCCGAAGTAACAACATACTGATACCGGTTAGTAAAAACCATGAATTAATGCTTTGTCAAGTCTGCAGACAGACGGCAGGCGAAAAACCTTTTAAAATTCGTGTTTTTCTAGATGGAGATTGGCTAAGCTAACGCAGTATATGCTCCGACCGTCCACACTCACAACAACGGCCTATACAGACATAAATAAACCAGCGACTGTATTCACCATGACACAGGCAGTCTGTGGTGTGTACTTGTTTAACTTTTGTCGAGTTTCTGAACATATATAAGGAGCTGTGAGCTCTGAGTGCTAACAGCTAACGGCTGTGTTGTGTTTTCTGGAGTTCTCATTGAAGATGACGTCACGGCTCCGCCTACACTGCGTTACTATAGTAACTACCCCAGTTCCTAAACTGTAATGGAAGCGCAGCATCAAGTGAGTCGGCCCAACGCGGCCAAGCCGTACCGAGCCGTACCGAGCGTGGCCGAGGCCGACCGTGTAGTGGAACTGCGGCATTAGATGTACTAGCAACGAGCATTCAAGACAGTATTATACAACCTTACTGAGGCACCTTCAGAACTGTAAGCAAGTAAGGTATTCATGTTGATCTCGTTAGAATATGTTCTTATTATCTGTTCTCCTGTAGGCTGAACTCATTTGACATGTATGGCTGTTTGAAGGCTTACTTTATATTTGAATTGAGCTATGAATATATTTGTGTGTTATTTTTGTGCATTTATTGTTAA